CTATATATATTTAACACAGACTATTAAATCATCAATATTCAGTCTTTCAGCCATAAAAATGATTTGACTGTAGGAATTTTTAACCTTTTCTCAAATAGATGTACACTTGGAATTGGAAGATCGACTAGCAAAATTTATGAGAGCTGAGGAAGCTATAATATATTCATATGGATTTGCCACAATTGCCAGTGCTATTCCTGCATATTCAAAAAGAGGAGACCTTGTCTTTGTGTAAGTAACATTTATCTTCTGGGGTAAAAACTCTGTGTTGGAGGTGTGGAAGAAACAGGCTTCACTCTATTGTTTGGTCACAAAGTTGTCAGAGACCTTTATTATACAAGCAGCAAATAGTGCACTAACTCAAAGAAGTCAGCAGAAATTAAGGCCTGAGGTTTTCTTCTTCCACAGAGGGAACAGGTAGATATTACTTGGATTCTTTAACACTGATTGTTTTAGGGGCACCTTGTTCAAAGAACTGGTATTCTCTAGCCAGGCATCTGTCTAAATGTGGTTTATGAACTTTAATTCTAAAATATGCTTGGGAAGTGTATAGTACAACTGAGGGAGGATGCAAAGGCTGTTTTAAGGCAAGTCATCTTCAAATCTTGAAGCTGTGTTAGGCCAGTCCCCTGTTTTAAAATGAACCTGAAACTGTTTTATCTTAAATCAGCTATTGGTGGACCTGGGTGTAGTCTATTTGATGAACACTGATTTACATACTTTACATTGGCTTATCTTAAAGATGGCCTCATCACTGCAGAAAAACTACCTTCAATCACCTGCATGCTTCCTGCAGCATTTTTTGAGAAGGTTCAGTTGGGCAGAAAGACTAGCACAGTCCTTTTTTCTAAATCTTGAGTTCTTTGTGGGCAGGTCACTGCAGAGTTTACCTTGATTCAGAAACATGGATGGAAATACCATGTTTGGATGGATGGAAGTGGCCTGAGTAAGCCAAGAATGCATGTGTCCGCTGTGTTTGACTCCTACCCATGTGCAGTCTTCACACTGCCACTGCTGTTACCTGGGTTAGGCACTGGGATCTGTGAAGGAACATTCTGGGTTATTGAGACAGTATTTAATAATTATTTTGTGACAGCACATTATGCCAGTCTGTCCTACCTGAGCCCCTGTGTAAAAGCTTGTTTTGCTTGCATATACATTCTCTGTGGCACAGTGTCTGAAAAAGTATGTAGATTAGAGAGAATGGGCTTCCAGAATAGCACTGGGGGTTGCTGAAGGCAGATATGCTGATTGCTTACCCATTGCAAAGATCACATTACTAGGTCATCCAGAAAGAATAAGTCTTGATTATTGTGGGCTCTGGCCCACTCTGAAGGTAGGTTCGTGAATGCCAGTGTGGGGAGCTGCACCCAGTCTAAGTACTTGGAAGCTGAATCTGCACTGCTGCCACTTCTTCCCGCTCTCCCCCTTCTGCTCTCCAGCTGCAGCCTGGGAACAGCTAGAAGTTGCCCAGCTCGTTCAGTTCGCTACCAGCTAGAAGCTGTACCCCCACTGCAGCCAAGGGACAGTGATCAGGAACAAACTGGCGACACAGGCACAGCATCCAACTGTCCAGCCCCAGCATGGGTGCAGGCAGAGGCACAGCCAGCCAGATCTGGTTCAGGAGCCATATGTTGCTGATCCCTGGTGCAGAGGAGAATCTGCTGGTTTATTATTCAAGAATCTTTAGCTTATCAACTCTTCCTGCAGTCTGTCTAGCCTTAGGTAGCCTGCCTTCACTTTTTCCTCCACTTCCCTCATCTTTTGGAACTCAAGATACTTTTTCAGCCTTTGTCCTTAGTTGTCCTGAATTTCTTGAAGCAAATCATACCTGATGCTCCCCTTCCCCGAGTGGCCTGGGTGGCTAACTTGACCCAGAAATGGAGAAAACCCTACTAAAGGGAAGCACATTGGGCTGGGTAGATGATCCATCTGGTTATGTATCTGTCTTACAGTACTTTCATGTAGTCTGCATTTCTTTAGATTACTAGTGAGATTGTCATGGAAGCCAGTGTCAAAAGCCTTCCTTGTAAGGTATAGCACACCCAGTGTTCCCCTTCCACAGAGCCTGCCACGTTGTCAAAGAAGGAAATCAAAGCATGACTGAATGCATTCTTACTGGATGTTCCTTGTAACCTTATTTTACTCTAGGTGCTTAGGAACAGATTCCTTGATGACCTGCCATGTAATCTTTCCAGGTATTGCAGTCAGAGTGACTAGTTTCTAACTCCCCAGATCCTCCCCATTCCCTTTCTTAAAGATGGGCATTATATATGCCTTTTTCCAGTCATGTAGGACCTCACCCAACCTCTGTGAGTTCTCATTTATTTCAGTGCATCTCAAAACAGATTCATTCCAGGCTACCAGTCCACAGAGACTATGATGGTATGTCATATTTACTTTTAGAAAAACTAAGATTTAATTTACAGTAATTTTGAGAAGCTTTGTGGGCCAGGTTGGTGGATGGGTGGGGCTCTCTCACTAGTTATGGGCTGGGATATTCTATGGTGCAGTAGCATTGGAGGATGCTGCTCTGCTAGTTGATCTGGGATTAGAAAACCACTTGTGTATGTTAGGGAGTTGCTTAATTTCCTGGTAATTGAGCAGTCGATTACTGGGCAGAGCTAATGAACTACAGAAGAGGACATAAACTGGGTGCTGAACTAGGATGCAGATGTTTACTCACAGATCTACCTTCCAGTTGGTCTCCTCCATTCTTACACCATGCTGCAAAACAAGAGTATCAGAAAGAGTAGAGTATCCCATCTAGACCATCTGAAATAGAAGAGCTCCCACATTTGGTTTGATCTACAAACTGTCAAGATCCTACCAAGGCACAGAGGCTAATGTTCTTTAAACTTCTTGCACTGTAATTTGCTCTAGTGAAATATTGCATAGTGTTTTTACCTTATTACTTATATTTACTATATAACCCAAATCCAAGAAGACTTTGAATTTAAGACTTTGAATTACCTCCCAGTAATTAGATTCTATACACAGACAATTATAAATTTAAGTTTCTATGTATAGATTCTAATTATTAGTGGCAGAGGGCATCTTAAACTTGTCCCTCCCACTCCTCTGGCAGAGAAAACAGCAGCAGGCAGGTAGGTCTGAGGCAGCCAGACCCCCATCCCTTGCTACCACCTTATGTCTGTGCCCTCTGGTGCTTGCCCGCTTGCTAGGTTCTCCCCACCTCCCCCCTTCTGCTGCTTGCTTCTCCCCAGCCCCACCCCACTGCTATTGCTTACCCTATGGGATGCCTCTGGGTTTGGCCCTGGCCTGGCAAGTCAGATGGCAGTGGCAACTCCAGCCCTGGGCCTGGGTCAGAGCAGGAGCTGGAGAAGCTTCCCTGAAGCTGCATGATGGCCCCCTCCTCACTACTGCTGTTGCCTTCACTGCTGCCTGGCTGGGCCGGGGTGACTCGTGGTGGCAGAGGGAGCATGCAGCAGGGGGAGCATGGGGGAGACTGCATGGAGGGGGTCTTCCTCCCCCACCCCCCTCACAGTGCGAGCTCCCCTACAACCACTAAACTCTGCAGTCTCCTCCATGCTCCACCTGCTGGGGCTGGATCATAGTTTTCTTAGGTGTTCAGACATTCACTTGTGCCAAAATACCTGAGAGACAACTTTGGAAGCTATAGTAATCTGTAGAATCTTTTTTCTATATTTTGTTCTATTTTTATTTTATTTTGTTGTTTTTTCCAAAATAAACACTTCCAGAAATGTTCTTGCTGCTTTCTGGGTTGCCCTGCTTGGTTTCAGATTGTCCTTACCCATTCTATAATCATTTTCTTATGTACTTGGAAAATAAGAGAATTGTACCAAACAGTGCACTTCAACAAAGCAGAGTCTGTTGAGAACTTACAACTGATTATAAAATAAGATAAATACCATATTTTTAAGGAATTTCAGTCTGTCGCATCAAAATCAAGCGTGTCCAAATTTACCCTTCAAACACAGTTCTATGCTGAAAGGTGACTTCACTTAAAAAAAAAAGCATCAATTCTAGGTCTATCTTAATTCCCATATAAAACCTAATCCTCTTGCTGAGTACAAGATGACTTCTGTCAGCCCAGATCTACAAACTAAGCCTTTTCTTTCTTGTACAAATCAAAATATTTTGCAAGACAAATCATGCCGTCTTCTATAACTGTAATCAGTACCTTTTGAGATTCTACCCTTTGACACCTGTGCAAGTGCGTTCACATCAGTCATTTGAAACTTTCAGAAATAATTGAGAGGGGAGATAAAAAACAACAGCTTGTTTTAGCTGCATATGGCTTACAAGAATAAACTACTCCCATTCATTAAAGGTCACAAAGGCTTGGGAAATTCTTAAACTTATGGTTATAATTGCTGTCATTTCTTTATAATCAGCAGAATAGAACTGGATGTTCGCTAATATGTTTTATAACAAAATATGAAAATACTTGTATATAATGTTTGCTCTATCTTGCAAGTCCTGTAGAAATATTAAGCTCAGCCCAGGCATATTGCATGCTGTGAGGTCTGATTGTTCTGAATAGGAGTTGCATATAAAGTATATGTATTGGGGAGGAGGAATATATACTTCAAAGTAGCCATGAAATGTTATGCTGGTTTGCGTCTGTACTGTGCAGAAGTGAATATCCTTTATTCTACCCAAATCTGATCCTGAAGAATTGGACAGCAGTCCTAACATTTCCTTCTAATATTGACCCAGTCAATACTGGAATTACTGTTTTAAGACATTTAAAAACACTTAACACAGTTTTCTGCTCCCCAGGACTAATTATTTTCAAATGTTACTTGATTAGTACAAACTTAAAAAAAAATGATCTGCAGAATTTTTTTTTTTTTTTTAAAGCTTCGTCCATTAAGACCTGCATGATGTTTTATGAAACTTTGAAACTTAATAGTTGTGAAACAACTATACCAGATAAGAAACCAGGACCTAAATTTTTTGTGTTCTGGCATTCTAAGAACATACTACATTGGTGTCAAGAAAATGTAAGCTTGGAAGTGATTGTATTTGCTAATGCTAAAAATAATGAGCTTGTGCTGCAGCCTATCTCTGGTTACCCACCTGACAAGCAATTATTGCCATAATATAAAAAGTAGTTGACAAACTTGTAATAAGTGTGTCTTAAAAAAAATATTTTTTTGCAAAGTTAATGAAGAAAGCTGCATAATAGCTGAAGAGTTTTTGTGACAGATACTAATCCTTGTCTTTGCTATCATACAAAATGCTTATACAACCACAAAGCTAACAGAAAGGTTCTGCTGGATAAACAGAAAAGCCTCAAATCTAATCTCTCTTCTCAAAAATTTCCTGGTGAGAAATGCAGCCCACTTTATAATAAGAAAATAAGCTATACTTTAGGTTAGATTAGTTTCTGGGAGAACATATACCTATGACATAAACAACAGTAGCAGACACGTGGTTAGCACTGTATTCTCTAGTCCAACCAACTCAGTTAGCTCTCTAACAAAAGCTGTAGTTTGCAGATTCATATTTTAAATGAAGGCAGATTAGCATTTACTGCACTGAGTCAATGAAGTATCTTTAAGCTGGATATATTGTATTATTAGCTCTTTTCCACTAGCAGTCTCCATTTCAGTGCCACACAGCATTTCACACTAACACAAAATGCTATATATATATATATATATAATGCTATAAATGATTTGATATATGAAAATAAAATTGCTGTTGTGATGTTTAATTATTGTATGTGCAGAAAGAGGAACCTATTTTGAACTTTAAATAGTTTTCTTAATATATGCAACTACTACCTTTCTAAAAACGTTTAGTGGGGAAAGATTTATGTATGTTTTTCAAGCTCTCAAGAAATGGCTTATGCCTGGAATTCTGACAGTCCTTAAAAGGTAGGATAAAAGAGAAGGAATGAAGTTCTGAGTGTTCTCAACATTAGTGAGTGTGTCTACTGCACGTTTCTCCAATTTGTTGTCTGTGCTGTGCAAATGTGCTGCTAAGGCTGGTGGAAAGTGAGGAGTGTCGGGGTAATTACAGGGCAGGAGTCCTCAACACATGGTTCACAGGCAACATGACAGCCTCCAACATTGCTTGCAGCCACAGGAAATTAAAAAAGCTAAAACTGAAATGGATGCTGGAATTGCAGCAAAATATTGCCTTCAGCATATTATTTGCTCAGTATTGTTGCTTATGGGCCAGTGAAAGCTGGTGAAAGCTGGTGACCACTGTTGTAGGGGTATTATTGTATAGCCAGTCTAAAGAAGGTTGGACTCAAGGGAAGTACCGTTATATATAAGCAGTTCAATGTAGTTCAAAAACTAGGAAATAATTCTGTATGATCCCCAGAGACCAATACATGCTTTGGACAACCTCTGGACTTTGCATTTAATCAATAAAATACAAAGATGTCTCCATATAGCCAGAGAGGGCCAAGAGACTTTAAAATGAGTTTTCTTTAGTCAATTAAAACAGTGTGTAATATATTTTATTTAACTACATGTATGAGTAGAGGGAATCTCAAATGCAAAGCAATGTAAAAGGGGTATTAACCAACTTCCTTCTTTCAGGAATTCATATTTTTCAAACTTCCTCCATACTAGTATCATACCAATTTTGAGTACTTTAGAATTATCAAGCTAAACACAAATTTCAAGCATTTCTGTATTTACAGAGATGAGGCTGCCTGCTTTGCTATTCAGAAAGGATTACAGGCATCTCGTAGTAACATCAAGTTATTTAAACATAATGATATGGCTGACCTTGAGCGTCTACTGAAAGAACAAGAGATTGAAGATCAAAAGGTAAAACTCCTTTGAAGAAATGTTTGTAGTCTTTTGCTGATTTTAACTGGGTTGTATATTTGAATGGACGCAATACTCATTGTTTATTATTTATCTTATACAAACCTCTACTGAATACTTAATACTGTTTATATAATTAAAATGGATTTGGCTGCTGCACGTTCATTTACTGTAATTGCGAGAACGAGAATTAGGTTGGAGATGGGAGGTCACTAAGGACTGGGAATCTAAACAGTGTTTTGTACCCTTATACACATTTTAAAAGAAAGGTGTTTATAACTGATCCCACTTAAGGGATTGTGCCAATTAAGTAGATTAGTTTCTAAATTGGTGTTAAAACTGGAGACCAATAGTATTTTTGTAATTAAATAATTAAGATAAAACTGTATTGTATATGAGGGTAGAGACAGAAGTGACAATTTCCCCCTGATCTGGCCACAGATCTCAGTTTATAGCCATGACCAAACACAAATTCATGGCTGCAAACAGCTTAAAAAATGCCAATTGTATGAGGAGTCAGATGAAGTTTCAAAACGGAGCGTCTTTTGTAACTTCTGTTTGTACTGCTGGCCAAGCTTGAGCTGTTTCCAGAATGGGAGGGGGGAAAGGAAGCAGAGGTAGTTCAGTATGGGTTTTTTTCAGTCCCCTCTGGAAAGCTGGGAGGGTATATTGGAGCCCCCCCTCCCCCGCCCCTCCCCTGTGGCTGGGGAACCCCTAGAATGAGCTCCCGCCACTCTGAACTCTTCCTGCAAAGTGTTCTGTTACGCGGGGACCTGCACTTCTGTCTGCACTGAGGTGATGAGATTTCCCTACTGTTTTAGAATCCTAGAAAATTAGGGTTGGAAGGGGGAGAGATCTAAAGAGTTCCTTTCATAGAATCACAGGAAAATTAGAGTTGGAAGGGTCCTAAGGAGGTCATCTACTCCCACCCCATGCTCAAAGCAGGACGATTCCCAACTGGATCATCTCAGGCAAAGCTTCATCCACTACCTCTCAGGGTAACTTGTTCCAGTGTTTTACTACCCTCCTAGTGAGAGAGTTTTTCCTAATATCTAAACTAAACTTCCCTTGCTGCAACTTGAGACCATTGCTCCTTGTTCTGTCATCTGCCACCACTGAGAACAGTCTAGCTCCATCCTCTTTGGGACCACCCTTCAGGTAGTTGAAGGCTGCTATTAAATCCCCTCTCAGTCTTCTCTTCTCTAGACTAAATAACCCCAGTTCCCTCAGCCTCTCAAGTCATGTGCCCCAGCCCCCTAAACCATTTTTCTGGTCCTCTAATGGACTCTCTCCAATTTGTTCAATTTGTGATAGTGATCTTGGTAACCCGGTCACAAGCAAATAGTTATTTTCAGCACAGCCAAATGTGAAGTTACATCTAGGAACAGAGAATGCCAGACCATGCTTGCAAGAGAGGAGACTTTGAATTGAAACAAGGTGAAACAATATCATGTTGAAATATGAGCTTCTGGTGTGGTGTCAAAAGTGTTAATGCGACCATTGTATGTAAACAAGGAAATATTGAGTACATGTAGAGGGGTTCTATTACCTCTGTATTAACAGTGGTGCATCACTGCTGGAATACTGTCTCTAGTGATGGTGTCAACAATTTAGATGGGTATTGATAATTAGAGATGATTCAGAAAAGAGCCACAAGAATGATTAACAGTTAGGACTGACTTAATCAGAGTCTATAATTGCCTGTATAGGTGGCTGATAGGGGTGTGTGAAACAGGCTGTATTCTATCTGGATTCGGATTAGGCCTGAATCGGGGACAGTGATTCAGTTAGTTGATTCGGATCGCTGTCCCCAATTCCATTCGGCCGAATCTGAAGATTCGATGTTGATTCAGAGAATCAGCGATTCGGCCATAGAAACAGCTTGAAATGTTTTTTCTACATACCTTGAGGTACCAGGTGTGGCTCGTGATCACTGTGATAGTAGGGCAGATGGAGCATCCCACAGGAGCATGGAGGGGCGGGCCCACATGCTTGGTGACGAGGCCAGAAATGGACCGCAAGCACTTCCAGTTCACTTTCAGGTCCGCTACCGAGCACGCTGCCCTCTCCCCCCACCTTGCCTCGACAGTTGGCCATGGGCGGACCCCGGGTGCCCCCTGAGACCCAGGAGGCGCCAGTTGCCGAATCACTGAATCTTTCCAAATCTCGCCGAATCGATTCAGAGGGTTCCAATTCCAGTTGGAGAGATTAAAGTAGCTCCTAATTTGATTCAGAGATTTGGTGACCGAATCAGGCCAAATCTTTGCAAATCAAATCAGTGACCGAAGCTTTGCACAGCCCTAGTGGCTGAAATGACATAGAGGACTTTTTGTTCCAGAAAATGAGATTAGATGGCTGGAAGTTGAAGTTAGAGAGATTCAGACTAAAAATAATGCCTGAATTTTTAGGTAAGGATAATAAACTATTGAAAGAATATTAACAAATGTTGTGGTGTTTTTTCCATTGCCAGCAGTTTTAAAACAAAATTGGAAAAGCCTGCATTAGATGGCAGATTGATAATGATAGTTCCTTCTAGCCTTGTAATTTATTAATATCTTAGGTCCATGTTACAGAATTGTTTCAGTTATATGTCAACTCCATGTTTTCAGGTTCTATTTTAGAAGCAAGGTTTTTCTTGAATATAGCTAATTAAGTTGTCCTACAAAAGAATCAAATAACCCAGGAAAGGACCCAAAGAGTTAAATGCACTAGAAATATTAAAAGCTGCACTGATTAAAAGTTCTACCGTGATATTTTTATTGCATACACAAAAATCTGTAAACATAAATTGAGGCTGTAAAGAGCACAGCTTACAGTTATGCACATGGATAATTAATGCAATTTTTATGGTTCTTTTAAAGGAAAGAAGGCAGACGTGCACTCAGAACAATACGGAACAAAGGTTCTCTTTAGTAACAAGATCCTGTTAAACTGAGAAACTAACCACTGTAACCTTATGCTGAAAAACCATAAATGAGAACAGTATAAAGATTTTTTTTCCTAAACATTTCTATTGGGTGTATTGTAGAGATCTCATTTTGAAATATACAGCCCCATATTTTCTTCTATTTAGGACTGCCAGTTCACTATCCGCGATCACTGATTTGCTACTTAGTGGCAGAGAAACTTAAATTTGATGCAAGATGTAGGAACTTTGAAAAAAAACTCACTAAAACCAAAGAAAATTAGCCACCTATGAGGCTTTTAACCTGATTACTAGAGCTTAAGTGCTAACTTGTAAGAGATAAATATATCACAAAACAAGTGATTATCTTTTTTCTTAAAAAACAAACAAACAAACTTCTGTTGTCAGTAACAGTCTGTATATACTAAACTGCGTGTTTTTGTTTCCTAAGAATCCTCGTAAAGCCCGGGTAATTCGCAGGTTTATAGTGGTGGAGGGATTATATAGGAATACCGGAGATATTTGTCCTCTTCCAGAATTGGTAAGTGGTTTTGATTTTCTTTTATTTCTTAAGCTGTACGTTATGTTATGAGTACTTGGTGTTTTTAATGTTCCTAAGATATTCAGGACAATTTATAGGGTCTTTCATATGATTGTCAGTCTTCTGTGGGGGCAGTGTTTTTACTTTTTCCCAAATTCTGTCAGTAACGTTGGACTGTCTTGTATCCTTTGCACCATTGAATAAATCTCCAGATAAAATTGAAGTATAAATACAAAGTGAGGATTTTTTTGGAGGAAAGCCTTTCCTTTGGAGTCCTTGGAGAACGTGGGCGAGGAGTTACTGAACACTTTGGAATAAATGTAAGTAATAATAAATGTCGCTAAAGCTTTGTTTCTTTCTGGGCTTTTTTGGTGTGGGTAGGAGTGGTAGAGAAGGGCAAGTGCTGACACTTGGCTGCAGATTGCAAAAGAGTGGTTTTTATATAGAAATAATTTTTAGTCACTTTAAGGAACTACTGTCTATCTACTTACTGTGCCGAATGTTGATAGAAGAAGAATAATGCAACTTGCACTATTCTCTTTTTATGTCTCTTCTCTCCCTCTCTCTCCTCTTCCAGAATGTCCCATTACAATTCACTCTTGATTTGAATTTGGCTCAGACTTCTGTGTCCAGGAATAAAATGTGTTTAGACAAAGTCAATAAAAACTTGTTTAATAATTCGTGTTAGAGTAAGGGAAATAATGATGTGCCATTTTTTATTATTTGAGGAGACTGTATTTTGCATCTGGAAGTGGATATATTTTACACAGGGAAATTTTTAACCCAATACTTGTCTCATGCATATGTATTTGTACGTAAACACATAGACACATGCTTCTTCGATTTACATAGTACTAGATTTCTGCATTTATGGTCGAATTGAATCTTAATTTTAAATACCATAAAATGTTAAATAAAATGTAAGGAGAGGAGAATCCTCTTTTAAAAAATCCATGTTATAGATTGGCATGTGTCATGACTTTTCCCAAGGCTTTCTTATGATATCCTTTGACTAAAACAATGGCAGCTAAACAATATGGTAACTATCATACCTTTAATTTGTTCTAGCCTGTGCTTGAGCATGACATGAGGCTGGGATTGGGCAAAAGTATCTTAAAACGAAAACTAAAAGGTACTAAAGGAGTATCAGT